GCTTTCTCGTAAGAACTGCTCTTATCGAACGACTTTTCAGATAAAATTTTTATTATATATATACTGAAAATATGTTTCTCGTTTGATATATACACATAATTTGCATAGGTATATATTAATCATATATATTATACGTTTTTTTGACATATTTTTGTGTTACAAATTATTTTTTTTGCACTTTAAAAATGAACATTATAATATGTAATGTAACTTAAACATAACTTAAAGTAAAGTATTTTTAATATTTTTTATTATAAACATCTATGTATTATGCTAAACATTACTGAATTTTTTGGAAACCGGAAACGTTTAAATCCTATCTCATTGTAAAACTTAAAAAAGAATTTTGATAATCACAAAGATATCGCTTAGACGTGCGCCTTGTCATGTCTTCTACTTCTTTTTATATGTTTGTTTATAAATCAAAATAATATCTCATTGTAAATACAACATAAGCATATCTTTTAATTAAACATCTTTTAATTAAACAGATCTCTTTAGTTACTTATTAAATTTAATTAAATATCTTTTAATTAAACAGATCTCTTTAGTTACTTTTAATTTGTATGTCTATAAGTATACATATATAGTATTATAAAAAAACATCTTTGTGATAAGACAATTTTATTTTTCAACTGTATACATATATCTATAATATAATACTTAGAATGTATATTTCATACATAAACTTAAAACTTCAATTAAAATAGAAAAATGAACATCTTTTATCACAGAAATCTTTGGCAAGACAATCTTTGAACTGAATACATCTGTATTTAGAATCTATACTAGGAAAATTCTAACCATATTGAAAATGAACAATATAGAATACGAACTTACATTATATGACTTGTTTAAATGTAGCTTAGTTAATGTAAATAAAATAAACTGTAAATAAAATAAACTGTGTAAATAAAATAAAAAAAAATAAAAGCGAATACGAATCAATATTTATATTATATTATATGGATCAATATTTTCCTTATCTTTGGACGAACATTGTATAATCCCGAGTTTTGCTTTACTGGTTTGTATTTCTATCGTTTGTATTTCTTTTAAATGTTGTAACTGCATACAGTTCATTTCTCTCAAATGTTCTTCTTTCATTTTACATATTTTTTCTTCATGTGTTCGTTTCATGCATGCTAATTCAGCTTCTTGATTCATTATTTGTTGTATACGTTCTATCTTTAATTTTTCTTCTGTGTCTATAAATTCTATTGTGTTTCTGTTCTTTCGTTTCATATTATTGTCAACTTTTCTTTTTGATGACTCTTCTGATAAATCACATAAAGTCATACATTCTTTCTTACTTATTTTGTCAGAAACAGTTGTGTCTACAAAAAAAATACTTTTAGTATACGTTACATATAAATATTATTGCATATTAATATGCAAATATATTACATAAATACTTTGCAAAGTACTAATTTCTATATTTGTAGAAGATTTATCAATTTTGTCTCCTATATTCGTAGAAGACTCATCATTTTCGTCTTCTATAATTATAGGAAAATCATCAAGATTTAACGTTTCTATATTATCAGTAGATATGGCATCAAATCCAGCTCTACGCTTATCTGAAATGTGTAGGAAAAAAATTTGTTTATGGTAGACAAAGTTGAAAAAATAGAATTATATTTTTAATATCTTCTGTGCTAATTTAAAAGATTACTTTCATACATACTCTTAATTTCTGTCTTAGTCATATTGGATGAAAAGGCAGCTGGAGCAGTCTTCATGAGGTCAGGCACAATATTAAGAATATCAGGGTCGATAGTTGCTTCTGTCTCTTCTGGTCCTCCACCAGTTGCCATACGGAATTGTCTCTCTTTTGTCAATGCTTCTCTTTGGCTTTGTTTTAGATTTGTCCATAATTTTTTCAATTGTTGGACTGTTCTCTATTAAAATATTTTACATTATTATGATATATGTCGATGCACTATTATCGTAGTTCTTACCTCTTCACAAATTAAAGTTGACTGATTGTATTTATTAGAAATTTCACTCCAGGCACATTCTTTGTCTTTCAATGTTGCACCGTCATTTTTCTTTATTTCTACTATATGTTTATATTCTTCTAGGATTTGCAGAAACACTTTTTTCTCCATGTTTGTATAGTGTTTACTTTTACTTTTAGGTGCTTTTTCTTTACATGACATTCTGTAAACAAAATAATAATTTAATTACAAAAAACTTAAAATATATAATTTTTATGTAAATAGACCTTTTACTTACATTGCTAAAATAAGAATGTTCTTCTCTGTTTAAAAAAGTTATGCACACAATTTTCTCTTTTGATTAAAATTATATATGATTAAAGTATGTCGATATATATTATTATCTTCGATTCAATTTGCATATGATTAGAGGTTATGAATATCTTTTAATCATATAAACTAGATAGCATAATACTTCCTAAAATTGAATTCCAAATGCAATGTTTTAATTGGTGAATCCAACGGAAATATTACGGAAACACCCGATTTATAAATAAGCATTGCCTTAAGTACATCTTTATAAAGGCGATCGTATATCACATAAGAAATACTTAAATAAAAATTTCTCAATTAAGATTATCTTATATCGCGACTATGAATTATATCGTTCTTAAGATGATTTTCATTGAATAAGTCAATCTCCACCAAGACGGTCTTGGGTATTACCTTGAGCTTCGACTATGAATACCGACCCTAGGGTGAGCTGAACCCCGCCGTGAAGCGTTCGTCTGTGGTATGCCCTGACGAGGAGTTGCGTCATCCATGACTCTGGAGGTAAGATGATCAGATGGCGTTCGTTTTCTGAGAGCACAGCGTGCTTCAGCCGACTCCCGACTCGAATGATTTCATGGTCGTCGAGGAAGGGGGTTAATTTCGTTATTGGACCCTTGACCAACTTGTGATTTTGTTTCAGGGCAGTGATCTCCTTGGAGAGCTTGCACCAAGCGGAGCCAGAGGAGCAAGGCTGCTTCTAACTCGTCGGGCGTGAGGTTGAGGTGAGCCTTCGAACTCGGTGGGTTGCCTCGCCATCGGCAACACCAGGCGGTGACCCTCAGGAGGCAAATGGAGATCGAAGAACCTGAGGAGCATCTCTGGTTCGGCTTTCTCTGTGGTCGTCAAGTGGGAGGCGATTGCTCTCGTCTCCGGCACCTCGACGTCGTGTATGGCGTAATCGTGCTGTGGCCAGAACGCTGGATCTTTGGCGAGCCATGGGGGTCCCGTTCATCAGAGGGAATGGTTGAGCAGGTCCCGGGGCTCAATCCCCCGAGAGGCGCAGTCAGCGGGGTTGTCTCGTCCTGGGATGTGTCGCCATCGTGCCTCCGGAAGTTTCGTCTGGATGTGGGACACCTTGTTGGCCACGAAGGTTTTTCACTTCGAGGCGTGTCCTTGGATCCATTGAAGCGTGACCCGGGAGTCCGACCATAGGGTGACTGGAGCTGAAATCAAGTCTAAGGCCTTGCGGAGATGAAAAGTCAGGTTAGTGACCAGGACTGCGGCGCACAATTCCAAGCGCAATTAGAGCTCGACGTGATTTGGTTGGTTATCGGCCCTCAGCCATCGTTCCAACCGGAGCTGTTCCAACAGCGGAAGATCTTCAAGCAGACGTCTCCACAACGCCTCATCTGATTGAGGCAGTGGGGAGTCCCAATCTAAGTGCTTCATCCAAGCTGACTGGATGAGGATTTTGGCACGAGCGGTGACGGGAGCTAACCAGCCTAAGGGGTCGAAGATTCGAGCCGTCTCCGACAAGGGGTCGAAGATTCGAGCCTGTCTTTTCGTCAGCGGGGCGGTCGTGCGAGGCTGGAGGCGGAACGTAAAGGAGTCGCTGCGGAGGTGCCACCGTAGACCAAGCGTCGGATGAGCTTCGTCCTCCCAGTCGTGGTGTGGCTGCTGGAGTTGATGCTCCCTTGGTATCTCCTCGAGGATACTCTGGTGATTTGAGGCCTACTTCCTCAAGGGAAACCCGCCCGCCGTGCAGAGCGGCGTAACTGCCTCTGTGTTTCGACTGCCTCGGACAGGGTGCTGGCACCTGTGACGATGTCGTCGACATAGCAATCGCGCCGCAAAGCGACTGCTCCCTTGGGGTTTGCCGGCTCTTCATCGTCGGCTAATTGGCGGGGAGTTCTGATCGTCAGGAAAGATGCACAGGCCAATCCGTATGTCACCGTATTGAGTCGATACTCCTGGACGTCATCAGTGCGTTGTCGCTTCCAAAGGATCCGCTGCAGATCTCGATCGTCAGGATGTACTAGAATCTGCCGGTACATCTTCTCGATGTCAGCGATGAAGACAAAGCGGTGCCAACGAAGAAGGACGTCGGCGAGAGTTGGCAGAAGATTGGCTCCAACCAGTAAGGTGTTGTTGAGCGAGTCTCCGGCAGGCGTACATTGGGATCCATTGAAGACGACTCTCAACTTGGTGGTCGTGCTGGAAGTCCGGAGCACACCGTGATGCGGTAAGTAGCACACGGGATTGTTTTTGATAAGCGGTGTTTTGACCAAGATCATGTGTTTCAGGTCCGTGTACTCTTCCATGAAGTCGCAATAGAGCTAGTTGAAGCTGGCGTTTCTGGAACGGCGTCGCTCCATTGCCGTGAGAAGTCGCTCGGCGGACTTTCGTGTGTGATCAAGAGGTGGAAGAGGGCCAGCCAGTGGAAGACGCACCATGTATCTTCCGTCTGCGTGGCGTTCATGAGTGCGAGCGAAGATCTCCTCGCATCGTTCTTCGTCTGGCGTAAGCACGACGGAAGCAGGCTGCTCCCGCCCGTTCTTGTTCCCAGAACCTTTGAACCAGAGCGTGCAAGTCGTGGTCGATGGTGCACTGGAGGGAGCTGAGGGAGCCGTTGGACGTCACGACTCCGCAGCTTCCTGACAACATCCACCCGAACGTGGTCCTCTGCGCGATGGGTTGGTCCTTGCGACCCTTACGGAGACCATCGAGGAGAATCCCGGAGAAGGCATCGGCGCCGAGGAGAAGGTGGATGGGGTCTCGCTGAAGATACTACGGATCCGCCAAAGTGAGGCCGTGAATGTGCGGCCACGTGGTGGAGCCCTGAATTGCTGGCCCCTGGTAGGAAGACAGCCGTGGAAGGACGTAAGCAGCTACGGTGAGGGGGGCTCCAGTCACCCTTGACTTCAGAGCGAGCGTTACCCTTCCGCGTGTGGATCCTGAGTGTGCTCCTCCGATTCCAATTATGGACATCGAGGAGCGGGTGCGCGCCAGACGGAGGCGCTGCGCTAAGTCTTCCGAGACGAGAGACACCTCGGATCCCTGGTCGAGCAGGGCTCGCACATCCTGAGGTCGTCCCAGACGGTCGGTGAGTGTGACGCGCGCGGTGGCGAGAAGAGTCGCCCTTTTGTCGTGTGAAGTGCGTGTCGTGGAGAAAGTGCTCGCTTCGTGTGATGTTGGTGTCGTGTACGCGTCGTGCAACAGTGTGTGGTGCCGCGACTTGCACATGAAACACGTTTTGATGGATTGACATTTTGCCATCATGTGGTTCCCGAGACAGTTAAAACAAAGTCCGCTAACCTCGACGAATGACTTTCTTTCGCTCGCGGACTTGGACTTGAACTCGGGGCACTGCATTAGTGTGTGTTTGCCCTTGCAAGCGGCGCATTTGGACGCGTCGGGCCCGTTCTTCACGAAGTGAGACTTCGCGGTCCGGGAGGTTTCCCCAGCACTCTTCGTGGCGATCTTGGGTTTCGCGGCGTTCAAGGTAAGAATCCTTTTACTAATAAAGTCAGTGAGTGCTTCGTGAGTCGGCGGATCGGGAGAATCGCTGGTGGAAGATTCCCACTCGAGACGTGTTCGCGAGTCGAACAATTCGATCACCAGGTGATTGAGGAGATCCATCCCATGGGAATTGATGGGTCTTCCGATGCTTTCTTGCGCGTTGACGGTGGCCGTGACGGCGTGATGGATACGACTTAGCTCTTCGGCTAGCTCCTCGGACTCGGACTTTATTTTTCCGACGGCAGTGAAAGTAGAAAAATTTGATCGCATGAGCTCTTTCTTATTTTCAAAGTGTTTTGCCAAGATCGCCCACGCGCGGTCGTAATTCTCGCTTGTAACCGTTAATGATCGGATTAATTTTTCCGCAGATCCCTTCATGCAGAAGCGAAGGTAATGGAACCGCTCAATGTTCGAGACCGACGGATTCTCTCCGACGAGGGATAAAAAGAGCTCCCGAAACGAAGGCCAGTTTTCGTAGGCACCCGAAAACGGCGGCAATTTTATACGCGGCAACGCGGTTTTGGGAGAAGACTCCGACTTCGGTTCGATTCTGTGTGCGACAACTGACTCGGCCCTTAACTTGTCAGCGTAGTTGCTCAACGTGCTCCGCTGAGATACGTAAGTACATTCCGCAGTATCGATGAAATCATTTTTGGCGTACTCACTCTCCAAGTATCTGTCTTTAAGAGCCGTTCGTATCAGTTCGTGTTGAGCCTCGAATTTCGCCCAGAGGTTTTCGAGGATGGTGAGGCGAGCTTGGATGGCACCGGCGGTGATGTTGGTGACTCCCATCTTGCGGAGGTTGTCCACGGAGCGAGACATTCGTCCGTGGATGTCGGTTTGAGCTTCTAACAAGGCCTTCAGGTCGGCACTCATTTTGATTTATCTGCTTTTCTGTCTGTTCAGGAGATTTGCAGCACTGCACAGCACTGAAAACGTCACCCACGAAACTGCGGATGCGGATAAAAAATCTGGCTCGAAGGACCAGAAATGTTCGCGAGTTAGCGCGGATTGCTGCGACAGCGCAAAGTTTTAAGAAAGCGGCAGACGGACGGCCACGAACAGAATATTTAACGCTAAAAGACTTAACACGACATGTAATTTTTTTTGGTTTTTTCAGTTTTATTTTTGACATCACACAATTAATAAAAGTTTTACACAAATAAAAATAAGCACAATTATTTCAGGTACAGAAATAATTCCGAAGCCGAGATTGCGAAAGTCCGAGTGAGAAAGCGGTCGTTTGATAGTGCGAAAGCGGTTATACAAAGCGGTGAAGCGGTTTTACAAAATACTGCGAGCAGCGAAAAAGTGCGGGACTTGGCTGGTCCACGCGCGGTGCCCATTATATAGCGAGCGGATTTTTGGGCCCGCTGCGACGTGGACCAATTAATTCAATCTTTTAGCGGTGACCTCATTGCGGCGCGTGTCGTTAGTTGTTGATGAGGTCGGATATTATTTATTTGCCATGCGCGCAATCTTTTTAGATCAGCTGATTGGCGATCAGCTGATCGTGACGCATGGGCGCGCATGCCCATGAACGGCGTAAATTTCAACGACGGTTGACAATAATATTGTTCACGGCGATGATGAGCGTTTTTTCTGGTGGCAAAAAAAGGGGGATAACTCGAACGTTCGAGTTTTTCTAACAAATAGATATTTCGAGAAGATTCTCGACGCCCGCTAATTTTAAATTTTCGAACATTTATTAGCGAAAACATGCGAATTTCGCTATGTGATTTTTTAATCTGGAATGATTATTTTAATTTTTGAACAAATATATATGACTTTTTATTTATACATTTCAAAGTAATTAATTATGTTCGGCATTCATTTTGCTAGCAAAAGGATAATTATTTTGTATTTGCAAAAATAAATTATAAAAGTTAATAATATTAAACTTACATAGCTTACATCTCATACTCTTAATAAGCTTACATGTAAAATCATTTTTAAAATTTTTACAAATCTGCTATTCTCATATCATCAAATTGTAAATATTATTTTTAATCTTTTAATTCTTATTGTATTATTTTTCTTATTGTAAGATTAATATTTATTAATTATAATTTATTAATTTGTTAATAAATAAGATTTATCAATTATTGAACTATTATCTTTTACTTATTGTTAGCATTTTTATAATTTGATAAAAAAAACAATATTTTATTTATCAATATCTATATTTTTAAATAATATATTTGAAAATAAATATTTTTGATTTCAGATATTGAAAAGATATAAATTTTAAATTAATAACGATGAAGATCCGCATTATGAACTATCTATTTATAGTCAGAGTTTAAATAATAACTCTAGTGATATTGAAAATAAAAAAAAATTGTGAAATTGATGATTTAATAATAAATCTGATGGAATAAGATCAAGGAATTGTTCAGAAAATAAAAACAGTTTATTAATAGGAAAAGAAATAGGAACATGCGAAGATGATGAATTATTTGAGAAAGAAATAAGAATATGCAAAGATGATGAATTATTTGTAGAATTATCTCGAGGGCCAAAAGGAGATAAAAAATCTAATTTTTGCGTTTACTGCAATACTATGCAAACTAAAATTGCTCGGCATCTAGAGTTGAAACACAGAAATGAAGAAAAAGTAAAAAAAAATTCCTATCACTTCCAAAGAAATCTAGAGAGCGAAGAGAAGCAATAAATCAAATAAGAAAAAAAGGTAACTTCAAATTTAATACACAAGCAGATCTAAATAGTGGTTCTATGATTGTTGTAAGAAGACCTACTAAGAAAGAGAAACAATGTGGTTCTCATTTTTTACTATGTTCCAATTGTGAAGGATATTATTCTATAAGTAATCTCAGGCATCATTATCGCATTTATGCTAAGAAGAAAGATACTGTTCGAATATATTAAAATTAGGACGAAGTGCTGCACAATCTGTTCATAATCGAGCAAGCTTTAAATTAAGAAAAGATATTCTTCCAATAATGCGAAATGACAACATTTACAGTTTAATAAAATACGACTTACTTATTATATTATATAGAAATTATCTCTATTAAATTCATAGATTACAGCATTTAGGAGATCACATACGACAACAGTTACGACTTATTGGACGATATTTAGAAGCATTGAAATCAATTGAACCAAAAATAGAAGAATTACAAATGCTATTTGATCCAAAATATTATGATATTGCTATACAAGCAGTAAATGTAGTAGCTAAATATAATAAAGACACAGAATCATATGAAATACCATATAATGCTACAGCTTTAGGGACATGTTTAAAAAAGCTATGTAAGATCTTAATCAATGAATGTATTAAACAACATGAATGTGTAGTAAATATAACAGGATGGAAAGATATATATATATATATATATATATGGGATGGCCGGGTTAATTTAGAAAGCGAGATATTAATAAGAGATTAAAATATGTTTATTACGAGTTTATTCTGTCTGATCGGGGCGCGCGCCTGCCAAAATCGCCGACGTTTATATCGCTTGGTTTATCCCTCCTCGTCCGGCTTAAGCCAATCGCTAATCGACAAGTAGACCGTGCTCTGGCTTGTCCCTCGAACGGTCGCGTTTATTATCTCCCAAATTTGATAAGGTCTCCTATTGTCCTACGAGCACATGGCAATATAAATATAAATAAGAAAACACGAGGACGAAACGACAAGACACGTTCGGCAATAACATGCTAGCGCGAAACGTATAATATCTCGAATATAATAATCGCACGCTCACAAATCTGAAAAACAAAAATTAGCAAAAAATTTTCTGAAAATCTTAGAAGTCGAATATGGTAGTATTGTTAATAAAACAGTTACAGAAACACGAACTATATCGTGTTTCTGTAACTGTTTTATTAACAATACTACCATATTCGACTTCTAAGATTTTCAGAAAATAATCGAAGAATATAGAAATAATCGAAAGAAAATAGTAAATCTTCTAAAAACATCAGATATCAAGAAACTAACTAATTATTTGGAAGAGGAAAGAATATCTAACATGAGAAAATGATTTCACATTTGATGCTTGGAAATCACTCACTGAAATAATATTAATATTAATTCAAATCTTCAATCGGCGTCGTGCAGGAGAAATAGAGAGAGCTTATATTATTGATTATAAAAATTTCATGAAAATTACGAAGGAAGATGAATTATATAAGAGATTATCAGAGAAAGAAAAAAAATCTGCTTTAAAATACATTTGTTTTACCATTCGTGAAAAAAATCGCAACTAAATCGCAACCAAACTAAATCGCAATGTTCCAGTTCTCTTAAATGCGAAAATGAAGGAAACTATAGAAATAATTTTAAAATATCGAGAAATGGCAGGAGTAAGTTCTAAAAATCCATATATATTCGGATTACCGAATACAGATGAAAGACGATTTCGATATTTAAGGGCGAGTAAATTAATGCGTGAATTCTCTAATATATGTGGAGCAAAAAACAAAAAAGCTTATGAGGAACTATTTTATATAGAGATATGGCTACAAAATTGCACATTTACCAGATACTGAAATTTCTCTTATTGCTGATTTTATGGGTCACCATAAAGATATACATAAAAATATTTATAGACAACCTGTGGCAAAATCAGATATTTTAAATATGGCAAAAATTTTAGAGAAAACTCAAGATATATCTGCACATACAATAATACTACAAATACTGATACTACTAATACTACAACTAATTCGATAATATCTAACAGTATAATGGATACTAATACTTCAAAAAACAGTATTGACGACATTCAAAATACAGGTATTTTAATAATAGCTTATGTAGTTTTAATGTAATTATGAAATACTTTTATATTATAATTAACAATTGTATTAGTTGTATCCATAGACATATAATAAACTGCTTCCTATCGTAAGAGGCAGCATTGAAACATATGAAAAACAGAAATATTGCAATTTTGGACATTTGTCCTTGTCTTGAGTAGAGAGCAGTAGGGATAAAATCGAATAAGGGGAATATACGTGTATGAATTGAGTATTTTCACCATCAAGCAAAAATGTTGTTCTTACCAGTCCCCACTACTAGTGAAAAAAGAAATGCCCAGAATGCTATTTCTATTCTTCATACGTTTCGGCGATTTCTCTTATAAGAAGAGATAGATTATTATGCCTATTGTTGTATTATATAAAATTGTTGATATTTGATATGTTCTATAATTCGTTTCTCGTTTTGGTCTAAAAATTGAATTTTTTAAAAATGGAATATACAATTTAATATTATGTTGGCAGAAAATTCTATTAATGCTAATTCTACATGCTAATTGAAAATTAATTATCTTGAAAATACAACATTTTTATTTTAATATAGAAATAACAATTTTATATGCTACAATATAATTTCTATCATTTAATATAATTACAATATAATTTCTATCATTATCATAAATAAAACTTTTATTACAATTTTTTATATAAAATTTATTCTTAATAATTTAATTACAGATGAAACATCAGAAAGTGACACATTGCCAATTATTAAAAAAAATTTGAAGAAAGCTCCGCTAAAACGAAAAAATATAAAAGTCCTATAGAAAATGACAGTAGTTCAGATGATAAATCTGTCAAAAAAAAGAAACGGTTCAGTAAGTAATTTTTAATATTGCAGATAAATAAAATAATTTAAAAAATATATAATATTTCTTTTATTAAAATTATTATTTATTTTTTTCTGAATATGTTTATAGATTTATATTGTATATAATTTACTTTTAGCATTTCCTTACGGAAAGACCAGAAGAATACGTTGGACAGAAGAAGAAAAAAAAACAGCTTCATTCCTATTCGAAAAGTTTAATTTCGTTTATTATTAAAAAGTTTATTTTATTAACAGATTTTAAAAGAAATTTTAA